AGAAACTAAAACAGACACAGATGAACTCCACAGATTCAACAACGTCAGGAAATCATTCATTTTCATCCCTTTATTATCCATTTCTGGCCTGAGGGCAGTCCCTGATCCTCTGCAGGCGGTGGGTCCACAGGAAGAGGCCTGCCTTTTTGCCCAAGGGCACAACTAAAAATATGTACAATAGGTCTGGCATGCGCCTTCTGTTCGGCGACCCCGCTCCCATCTCTGTCTGGAGTGAGAGGACAAGTGCCCAAAAAAAATAATAATAACAATTGTAAACCGCTTTGTGACCCTTGTCTGTGAAAGGCGGTATATAAATAAACATTACTTACTTACTTACTTACTTACAACGACAGCAGATATCAGTGTGAGCATGTGACATTAGTCGTGGTGGGATTGAACCCACGACCATTAGGTCCAAAGACCAGTGCTCTACCAACGGAGCTACTCTCGCCCCACAATAAAGTTGTAAGGAATCATTTAAAAAAATAAAACAATATTAAATCACCATGGCAACACGTGTCGCACAGCTGTCGGCTGGATATTAGATCCATGGTAATACTTTAACGTAATTAAAAATGTGAGTGTCATTTGCCCAAATGACACTCACGGTATTCTCACGGGACACTATGGTATTGACACGATTCCAGTGTCGGTGTTGGTGCATCTCTATTTAATATTAGTATAAAGTAATCAAAATTTTTTCTGTGTAAGAAAATATCTCTGAATAAAAAGTGGATCTGAAAATATGTAACAAACTTCACTCATTCAAAGGATCAGGTCCGAGACTCAGAGACACATAACTCTAGGACATTTATAAAACAGTCTCTTCTAGTTTCATAATGGACTGAGGAGGGATTTGGATAAATTAAAAACATAATAATAATAATAATAATAATATAATAATATAATATCCATCAATCACACGTTTAAACCTTTAGTGTGAACAAACCCATGTTCCGTGTGGTTGTGCAGGATCCACACACTGCTCTCTGTCCCTTTGATCAGTGGCTCCATGTTATAGAAAGTTTCTGGCTCAGTGTGATGTCCTCTGGTCCCATCGATCTCGTGGCATCAGGATATGACATGATATTACTGGGCCGTGGCTAATGTGGTTAGTGGATATTGTTGTGAGTGGAAGTGTGGACCTGCCTGGTGTGGTTAGAGCCGGTGATGGATCTGCCCCGGTGTTTGGAGACTGTTAACGGACCAGACTGATGGACCCGGACCCGAGCCTCCGGGGCCTTCATTTATATGATTGGATTAATGCATCTTTTCTACGGCTTTGGGCAAGACTAGTTTAGAGACAAAAGTTAAACCAAATGGACTTTTAGGGAAATTGTTTAGAAAAAATAACAACAAAATCTGTGTTAGTTTGGTTTTTGTGAGACTCAAGGCACAATTACTCTGCAAAAAACAAGTGGACTTCACCCAAGAAGAAGAAGAAGAATTATTAAAGGCAATGTGGGTTGAGTGTCTTGCCCAAGGACACAACAACAGCAGACATCAGTGGAGTCGGTGAAGAAGGTCTTGCGGTGGACTCGAACCCACGACCTTCAGGCTCAAAGGCCAATGCTCTATAATATTAATAATAATACAAATACATGACGTACAGATTCTCCCTCTACCTTTGGATTTGTGGCCATACTTTCATCCTGTCAGACCTCTGAAGATAAGCAGGACAGGGTCTGGTTAGTACTGTGATGGGAGACCTCTGGGAACACCAGGGCAGACCAGGCCAGAGGAGACCAGGTCAAAGGAGACCAGGGCAGAGGAGACCAGGTCAGAGGAGACCAGACCAGGGGAGACCAGGTCAGAGGAGACCAGACCAGGGGAGACCAGACCAGGGGAGACCAGACCAGGGGAGACCAGGCCAGAGGAGACCAGACCAGAGGAGACCAGACCAGGGGAGACCGGACCAGGGGAGACCGGACCAGGGGAGACCGGTCCAGAGGAGACCGGGCCAGGGGAGACCAGGCCAGATGAGACCAGATCGGGGGAGACCAGGCCACAGACGCAGGTAACATTTGTTGCCAGATAACAGTGTCTTGGTGAGATACAGTCACAACATCACACATTTCGAACAGAACAGAATGTTTTCGACCCTGTATCGTGCAAACATCGTAGCGAGGGTATATCACCTTTAATAATGTCAGTATTGGATGCACTTGAAACATCAAAGATAATGATGAAAGACAACAATATAAAAGGCTGTCATCTGCGTGTTGTTTTTGAAAATATCCAAACAGCGCTCGCAGAAGCTGTAATTGTATATAATCTACACACACAATATTTTTGCCATTTTCTTCAGTGTTGGAAGAGACAGAAACAGCAGTTGTCCATCTGTAAGCCTCTAAAGGGCTCTATTCACCCTTTCAAATGCTTCTTTTCAAATCACACACAAAAAGCTGTCCTTGTGTGGCATGTCTGGTCTGTAGTTCATGGTTTTGTGAGAGCAAAGGTTCTGTCCGTGCTCTCCATACATGCAGTTGCCGGTTCTCATTGCTCACCTGTCCTTTTGGATTATGTTTGTGGGCGCTCGGACCTTTGACCTGCTCCTACTCTGCGTCCACACGAGCAGGATCCACGTGAATGTGTTTCTCTGAGCTGCAGCCTCCACAACGAGCTGCAGCCTCACCGCAGGAAGACAAAAGAAGGAACACATGCACTAGACGCATGCATCGCAATTCCATCCCACCGCTTTTCTATTAACGCCGTAAGATTTTGTGTTTTTGGGAAATTGAACGTGAAATATCTGTATGTGGAGTCCTAGCACTAGACTCCTACTTTCACCAGATATGATTAAGGTTATGACTCAGCATTTACAGCTAGTTAAGAAACATAACTACTACTGTGTGCTCCCTGTGTCTCTTACTACTGTCCTGTCTGTGCGCTGCAACACTGACATTTCCCCACTGTGGAACCGATAAAGAATCTCTATCTTATCTCTATGTGAGACATTTAGATTTATTGGATATGAGTCATTTTTGGAGGCTGAGAAGAAAAAGGTTATATATTTATTATTTTCTGATATATTCATTATTAATTATATATTTATTATAGACAGTTCTGTAATCCATCCATCCATCTTCTTCCCATTAATCCATTCCTAGGTCGGGGGTGGCAGTCACAGCACCAGCCCCTGATCCTCTGCAGGTGCTGAGTCCACAGGAGGCTGCTCTGTCTCTGACTCGGCCTTGGTCCCATATACGTATAATCCCATATATCATGCCATATATAATCCCATATATCATCCCATACCTTTTGAGCTACACATGCACATCTCATTGATAGAATAGTCTGGCAACTAATACATTATCAAAAGAACCGTTAATTAACAGCCCTAATTGGATCACACATTGTCAAATTTAATCTGACTTTTGTTATCCATAATCCCTCTGTTCACAATCTAAAGTCCACATCGTTTTATTCATCGCCTCACAGCCTCATTCTTGTTAAACGCAGCTTTAAAGGTGGATTTTACAGCTCCATAAACAGCTGCAGAACAAGACATTTCATTTTGACTTCTCGCTGAGCGGAGAAAGAGAACTCATGAATACTTAACTAGTGTCAGGAGTGATGTAATCCACAGAAAGACTTTAGTTACAACCAGAAACTAGCGTCCGTTCCTGCATCCGTTATTGTTCATTATTGGACTGATTATTTCTGTCCTTTCTTAACCTTAAAGGAGCTGTACCCGTTTCTGCACGGTTTGAATACTTAGCCCCGCCCCAAGCTCGCTCACAGGCTTCTCATTTGCGATCTGATGCTAACATTAGCATTAGCGCAACTTAAGCTGTACAACAATCACTGATGAAATGGTACAAAAGTAACGCACTGCTAACAAAATATATAACTGAAAGATTACTGCTAGTTTCATGTCCAAATGTAGACAGAGCGTAGATAGTCCGAGAGTAGATAGTCCGAGCGTAGATAGTCCGAGCGTAGATAGTCCGAGTGTAGATATTCAGAGCGTAGATAGTCCGAGCGTAGATAGTCCGAGCGCAGATAGTCCGAGCGTAGATAGTCCGAGCGTAGATAGTCCAAGCGTAGATAGTCCTAGATAGTCCGAGCGTAGATAGTCTGAGCATAGATAGTCCGAGCGTAGATCGTCCGAGCGTAGATAGTCCGAGCATAGATAGTCCGAGCGTAGATAGTCCGAGCATAGATAGTCCAAGCGTAGATAGTCCAAGCGTAGATAGTCAGAGCGTAGATAGTCCGAGCGTAGCTTTAGTTCCCTCAGATAGTCCGAGCGTAGATAGTCCCAGCGTAGATAGTCCCAGCGTAGATAGTCCGAGCGTAGATAGTCCGAGCGTAGATAGTCCGAGCGTAGATAGTCCGAGCGTAGATAGTCCGAGCGTAGATAGTCCGAGTCGGTCCCGCAGGTCTCTCCCATAGACCAGTCTCTCCAGAGGATACGATGTAAGCTAGCTCTTGGGCTGTTTTGTTTTGGTCAGGTGTAGAGCCACTCCTCCAATCACAGGCCAGGGCTGCAGAGACACGTGAGAGCGGCATGACTTTAAGACTTCAAATGTCCATCCATTTTCTTCCCCTTAATCCATTTCTGGGCTGGGGGTGGCAGTCAGAGCTGGAGAAATGTTTTCACCATAATCATCCGGTGCACATGTTCAGTGCCTCCCAGACACAGCCTCAGGGACTTTGGGGACTTTGACATTTTACATTTACATTACCATAAACTCACCACGACTAAAGCTCTCTGTCCAAGTATCACATTTTTATGAAACTTAGGAAATGTATCTTTTGTAATGTTTTAGAGCTCGATTTAGAGCTTGATTACCCAACTCGACACATCTCCCTCATCATAACCCACCTCCTCCCCTCCCTCATCCTCACCCACCTCCTCCCCCCCCCCTCATCCTCACCCACCTCCTCCCCTCCCTCATCCTAACCCACCTCCTCCCCCCCCCCTCATCCTCCAACCCCACCTCATCCTCACCCCCTCCCCCCCCCTCATCCTCACCCACCTCCTCCCCTCCCTCATCTCACCATCCACCCACCTCATCCTCACCCACCTCCTCCCTCATCATCACCCACCTCCTCCCCTCCCTCATCCTTACCCACCTCCTCCCCTCCCTCATCCTTACCCACCTCCTCCCCTCCCTCATCCTCACCCACCTCCTCCCCTCCCTCATCCTCACCCACCTCCTCCCCTCCCTCATCCTCACCCACCTCCTCCCCTCCCTCATCATCCTCACCCACCTCCCCTCCCCTCCCTCCCTCATCCCACCCACCTCCTCCCCTCCCTCATCCTTCACCCACCTCCTCCCCTCCCTCATCCTCACCCACCTCCTCCCCTCCCTCATCATCACCCACCTCATCCCCCACCCACCTCCTCCCTCCCTCATCATCACCCACCTCCTCCCCTCCCTCATCCTCACCCACCTCCTCCCCTCCCTCATCATCACCCCCTCATCCTCACCCACCTCCTCCCCTCCCTCATCATCACCCACCTCCTCCCCTCCCTCATCCTCACCCACCTCATCCCCTCCCTCATCATCACCCACCTCCTCCCCTCCCTCATCCTCACCCACCTCCTCCCCTCCCTCATCCTCACCCACCTCATCCCCTCCCTCATCATCACCCACCTCCTCCCCCCTCATCCTCACCCACCTCCTCCCTCCCTCATCCTCACCCACCTCCTCCCCTCCCTCATCCTCACCCACCTCCTCCCCCCCTCATCCTCACCCACCTCCTCCCCTCCCTCATCATCACCCACCTCCTCCCCTCCCTCATCCTCACCCACCTCCTCCCCTCCCTCATCCTCACCCACCTCCTCCCCTCCCTCATCCTCACCCACCTCCTCCCTCCCCCTCACCCACCTCCTCCTCATCACACCCACCTCTCCCCTCCTCATCCTCACCCACCTCCTCCCCTCCCTCATCCTCACCCACCTCCTCCCCTCCCTCATCATCACCCACCTCCTCCCCTCCCTCATCCTCACCCACCTCCTCCCCTCCCTCATCATCCCCCTCCTCCCTCATCCTCACCCACCTCCTCCCCTCCCTCATCCTCACCCACCTCCTCCCCTCCCTCATCATCACCCACCTCCTCCCCTCCCTCATCCTCACCCACCTCCTCCCCTCCCTCATCCTCACCCACCTCCTCCCCTCCCTCATCCTCACCCACCTCCTCCCCTCCCTCATCATCACCCACCTCCTCCCCTCCCTCATCCTCACCCACCTCCTCCCCTCCCTCATCCTCACCCACCTCCTCCCCTCCCTCATCTCACCACCTCCTCCCTCATCATCACCCACCTCCTCCCCTCCCTCATCCTCACCCACCTCCTCCCCTCCCTCATCCTCACCCACCTCCTCCCCTCCCTCATCCTCACCCACCTCCTCCCTCCTCCTCACCCACCTCCTCCCTCATCCTCACCCACCCTCCTCCCCTCCCTCATCCTCACCCACCTCCTCCCCCTCATCCTCACCCCTCACCCCCCCTCCCTCATCCTCACCACCTCCTCCCCTCCCTCATCCTCACCCACCTCCTCCCCTCCCTCATCCTCACCCACCTCCTCCCCTCCCCTCATCCCCACCCCTCCCCCCTCCTCCTCTCCCCTCCCTCATCCTCACCCACCTCCTCCCCTCCCTCATCATCACCCACCTCCTCCTCATCCTCACCCACCTCCTCCCCTCCCTCATCTCACCCACCTCCTCCCCCCCCTCCTCACCCACCTCCTCCCCTCCCTCATCATCACCCACCTCCTCCCCTCCCTCATCATCACCCACCTCCTCCCCTCCCTCATCCTCACCCACCTCCTCCCTCATCCTCACCCACCTCCTCCCCTCCCTCATCCTCACCCACCTCCTCCCTCATCCTCACCCACCTCCTCCCCTCCCTCATCCTCACCCACCTCCTCCCTCATCCTCACCCACCTCCTCCCTCATCCTCACCCACCTCTTGTGTTCGTAGACAGTGAGTTCAGAACCATAAGTCGTCAGATGTGGATTATTCTGAAATGACTCAGAGACCATTGTTTATTCATTGTATTCTTATCCTTTGTATTAACATTAAACCCAGTGACTTTATCCATGGGTTTAGCGGCTGTGTACACAGCCGCAGAGGTTACAGAGGACGGACCAGAGACACACCTCCTGTTTGTCCACATGGTCCCTGTTTCTGGTCAGACACAAGACTTCATGAAGGAGGAGCGACAGTGGCTCAGTGGTAGAGCATTGGCCTTTAAGCCTGAAGGTTGTGGGTTCGATCTCTGGGAACAGCATGTGCCACAGTGGGGCGGCTGTGGCTGTAGAGTGACAAACTGTGGTTGTGTCCTTAGGCAAGACACTTCCCCCACATTAGAATGAGTCTGGTGTGTGTTTGAGTGGTTGGTGGTGGTGGGAGGGGCTTCTGTCAGTGTGTCCCAGGGCAGCTGTGGCTACAGTAGTAGTGTAGCTCTGACTGCCACCCCCCTGATGGATTAAGGGGAAGAAAATGGATGGATGGATGTTTGGAGTGAATGAACAGTGAAGTGGAGAGAGTTTGAGGGTCCAAAAAAGAGCTGTATAAAACCAATGCATTATTATTATTATTATTATTAAGGAATAAAACAATGTCCAGAATCACTGTGTTTGAATACAAGTGCTGTGTGTGTGTGTGTGTGTGTGTGTGTGTGTGTGTGTGTGTGTGTGTGTGTGTGTGTGTGTGTGTGTGTGTGTGTGTGTGTGTGTGTGTGTGTGTGTGTGTGTGTGTGTGTGTGTGTGTGTGTGTGTGTGTGTGTGTGTCGACTGGAGGTCTTGTGTAGGCTCAGGCTCGTGTCAATACATGTCTGTTCGTAAAACACTTGAGTAAATATCACCTTAGATTAAAATAGAAAACACGTGTTTCCTGCTCTGACGCCTCCTGTGGAAACTCCCCACATCAGACCTCAACATCGTATTATTAGAAAAACTCAAGTTCCCTGTGTGTCTCGATAATGAGTTTGGTCGTCTCTATTTCACTTCTGTCTGAAAAACCCAGATCTCAAGACGTGACTTAAATGCTAGCGAAGAACCCGTCACATGTGCAGGTATATAATGACATAGTTTCATTGGTGTGGGTTTCATAGTTCTGCAGATATCAGTGATCGCGGTGCACTTTGTGGAGAACAGAGACAGTATGTTTCCCACATTCTCTGTTAGCGACCACGGAGAGAGGAAGGCGCCCGCTGAGCTCTGTCTACGGTCGACTTCTCCCGAGACGCCACGTGTAGAACAAGCAGTTTGCAGCTACAACCTACTTTCCACTTCAGACACGGCGGCCCTTTTCTAAACCTTCCTCCTCCTCTTCCTCTGTGCACTAACACTTGTTTGGTGTGATCACAAGAAGAAGTCGCCGCATTAAGTGCTGTTCCAAAGCGAGCAGGAGCATCCACACAGACGCGTGTGTGTGCGTGTGTGTGTGTGTGTGTGTGTGTGTGTGTGTGTGTGTGTGTGTGTGTGTGTGTGTGTGTGTGTGTGTGTGTGTGTGTGTGTGTGTGTGTGGGTGTGTGTGTGTGTGTGTGTGTGTGATGCTGGAAAGTGCGGTGCAGAGAATAAAAGGGCCTTCACCTGCAGAAAGACCGTCTCTGTCTCATGCACAGGCCCCACTGTGGAGAACATACAACACTGTAGCAACTATATGAGTGTGTTCACAGTTAAGTGTCAATTGAAGTATCTGGACTTTAAAAGGTTATAACTTAAAAACTAAAATTACTATCATAGATTGCAAAAAAGATTTCAAACACAGACACATCAAAGAGATAGTGTGGATAGCGGCAGCTGAAATCCCACAGATTTACATGGTTAACACAACATCAGGAAATCACTTGATATGAAAAGGAATCGTTAAAAAATAAAAAATAATTAATTAATTAAATGACCCTTGAAAAATGTATAACGGACGTGATGGTTTCCGTCCTCTTTTCTCTAAAATTTAAACTTGAGAAAGAAAAAAATCTGGTCTGGTTTCACATTTAATTAGTTGACTAAATGAAAGTATCACTTTGTTTCTACTTTGTGTAAAAAAAAATAGAATCTCTGAATCAAATGTGAACATCTGAAAATACCATCAAACTTCCACAAAGCTCATTCCGTCAAATCATCATCGTCCGTTACATAAAATAAACAGGGCCGCTTTAGGAAACTTGTCTAATGTATAAAACAGTTATGTTCTAGAGACTTCTAATGAACAGAGGAGGTGCTTGGAAACATGAAAAACATAAAATATCTTCTGATTATTAAAATCTAATTTTTGGCCTTTTGTCACACTTTTGTGCCCTTTAGTGTGAACAAGCCCAGATACATGTATGTAACGTGTTCATTTAAAGGGAAAGGAACCAGAAGAACATGTGCTGTTAGTGCGATCAATGGATCTTTTATAGTATCTGACAGAGAACCTGACAGAGAACCTGACAGAGAACCTGACAGAGAACCTGACAGAGAACCTGACAGAGAACCTGACAGAGAACCTGACAGAGAACCTGACAGAGAACCTGACAGAGAACCTGACAGAGAACCTGATAGAGAACCTGACAGAGAACCTACTGCCACAAACTCTCCCGCTCTAGCTTCCCTCTGATTGGTCAGAATGTTGCCCCTCTGTGTGTGTGTGTGTGTGTGTGTGTGTGTGTGTGTGTCTGTCTGTGTGTGTCTGTGTCTGTCTATGTGTGTGTTTCTGTCTGTGTGTGTGTGTCTGTCTGTGTGTGTCTGTCTGCATATGTGTCTGTGTCTGTCTATGTGTGTGTGTCTATGTGTGTGTGTCTGTGTATGTGTGTGTGTCTGTCTGCGTATGTGTCTGTGTCTGTCTATGTGTGTGTGTCCTTCTGTAAAACCAAAAGCTAAACCTTGTGTGACACTGTGTGTAAACTGTGTTTTTGAAAGACCAATGAACCGTGTGTGATTCTTCACTGAGCAACATTTGTGTTTCTGTTTCTGCTCGTTGCGTGTCCTGGAGTTGTTTTTGTCCAACTGCAACAACATTTGTAAGAAACATTATTTTTCCGTTGTATTTTTTTCTCCTTAATGACTATTTTTGCAAACAAGTGTAGCCTCAGAGCTGCGTCTGAATCAGAAGCATAAAGTTATTGTTGTGTTAAAGTGTGTTACTCTATGATTTAGTGATGTCATAGATTCACACGGATTGCCTTTTCTGTCTTCCTCTTGAACGCACAAACAATCATGACCATTACCAGACTAAAAACATGGTTTATTTTCGGGGGTTTGTTGGTCTCGATTGTTTTGATGAACATTTGTTATTGTCTCACAGTTTGGAAGTTTCAGACTTAGTTTAAGGTTGTTTCTGATTCTGACAATGTTTGTCACAGACTGTGAAGGTTAAAGACGTCTCGCTGAAACTAATGTGACATCACTTTGGCTTCTGTGGATGTATCAAAATGCATTAGCACCAGCCCCCCTCATTTAACGAGTGCATTCAGAAGTCCACAGCGACTAAACTAGACTGGTCCAAAAAACATATACTCCGAGAGCCACTTTTGGACCAAGAACCACTTTTGGACCAAGAACCGCTTCTGGACCAAGAACCACTTTTGGACCAAGAGCCACTTTTGGACCAAGAACCACTTTTGGACCAAGAACCACTTCTGGACCAAAAACCACTTCTGGACCAAAAACCACTTCTGGACCAAGAACCACTTTTGGACCAAGAACCACTTCTGGACCAAAAACCACTTCTGGACCAAGAACCACTTTTGGACCAAGAACCACTTTTGGACCAAGAACCACTTTTGGACCAAGAGCCACTTTTGGACTAAGAACCACTTTTGGACCAAGAGCCACTTTTGGACTAAGAACCACTTTTGGTCCAAGAACCACTTTTGGACCAAGAACCACTTTTGGACCAAGAACCACTTTTGGACCAAGAACCACTTCTGGACCAAAAACCACTTCTGGACCAAGAACCACTTTTGGACCAAGAACCACTTTTGGACCAAAAACCACTTCTGGACCAAGAACCACTTTTGGACCAAGAACCACTTTTGGACCAAGAGTCACTTTAGGACCATCCTGTAAAGTGGTTTTCCAGAAGAACGGCTCCATACAAAAGGTTTGGGTAATTCTGTTTCCAGGTACACCCCCACCAGGGGGAGTGAGATTGCAGCATGTCAGTGCACGTTCTGGTGGACGTCTTGGGGCCGGGACCCGCCCACACTGATCCAGACTGGTCCAGACTGGCCCACACTGGTCCACACTGGTCCAGACGGGTCCAGAGTGGTTTGTCCTATGGTGACCTGTAAAAACAGTCGTGGATCTGCGTTGTTTGTCTCCATCGTCTGTTTAAAGGTTAAATGTTACATTAAACATAAAACCTGCGGCTTTTATTTAAATGCAACCTTTTTTTGGACAAAATGTTTTAAAAATGCAGCTGGTGCAGATGCAGGTGTTTCTGATGGTCCAGACCTGGCTGTCACCAGGTAATCCACCTGGTTCCAATGATTTAGTGATGGATTCATCAGGTTTTTAACCTTATTAAGACAGTGGCTCAGTTTTGAGAGCAATGGTCTTTGAACCTAAGGGTCATGGGTTCGATACCCCACAATTCACATCACCTGCTCCCACTGATGTCTGCTGTTGTTGTGTCCCTGAGCAAGACACTTAGCCCCACTTTGCCTGAAGCCCCCGCTAAAAGACCAAGGCTGTGTCGTTGTTGACGGAGAAGACATCTTCCTGTGGTCTCAATGTTTTTGAATTATGACCATTTTAACTCTAAAGACTCAAAAATAAAGCATAGAACTAATCAACTACAGTCTTTAACGGAAGACTTCGCGCTCTGCCCAAACCTCTGCATCCTTATTCTATCATCCTAGTCTCTGTCTCTG